TTATTACGACCAATTATTGAGGGCCCTGCAATTTACATTTTTTATTGGCGTGACTCGTCTCATTTTTTTGAAAGGATAAACCTACAGCGACTACATTTTTTTCTATTATGTTTGCCTCTAAAATGAAAAAAAATACACGCTAATTAAATTAAACATGTTTGGCCAGCTCCGGCCTCTTATTGATTATCAGATTAATTATTTATGAGACGGGGAATTGTTTCATGCCTTATTCCATGAGCAAACATGCTTTTAATTTAATAAAGAAAATTGCATACAAGATTAATAAAATGCTAAGCTCACGCTAAACATTCTTCAAGTTGAATTTAAACTAACTTATTTAAACTAGATTAATGGAATTAACTACTAGAGGGTACTACTAACGGGGTTCGAACAATGCCTAATGGAATCCGATTTTGACAGAGTTAGCTCAAATGATTTAAAACTATATTGTATTTTTTGCCAAATTAGAAACAACCTGCCTTACGTATTTAAAATAAGAATAGAGATGAGATTTAACTATCGATATACTAAACACCTGTGCATTCCATGTCATACAGACAGCTAAATAACTAAGATCACAGTATTAAACAAACTAAGTTTTAATTAAGTACAAACTACCTAATGTATTTTCTATTGAGTTACAAACTAAAGAATTACACAAATCTAACAATATTTTATAAAGCTGTAATTACGGCAGCAAATGATTAAACTCCTTCGCATCTTTCATTTCATGCTTTTACTGTTACATCAATGTGAAATTCTAGTGTGTACCTGGATGTTGGACATAAGAGGAGAAAGGAGTGATTAGTGCAGCAGCAGTGATAAGAAGCAAACAGCAACAATAGCTCAACAATGATTTAACACCCAGAAATGTTTGACAACCAGACGGAAACCAACAAAACAAACAACCAACCACTTGAAATGCCCCCAAACAAATTCGACAGTGAGCTTAAAATGCTTGATGAAACTTCTTGGAACAGCACTTAATGAAAAACCAGACCAGACAGATCCAAATGTACTCAATCAAACTGCCGAATATTCCTAAACGTTGCTGAAATTAAATGGAGATAGGTGGCTGAAACTTTTGGAGTTTACAGGGGTCTTTTCCTCCTTTTTTTCTGATCTGATCCTGTCTTTTTTAAATTCTTGAACTCCTGATGTTCTGCCCTCTTCCCCTTTTATTTTTCTGATTCTTAAAATGTCTGAATGTTTACCAAAACTCTCTACCCAAAACCCCCTTTATTTTCTGATTGTTCTTGTTGCTCAAAATTACCAGGGAAATAGATTTTAGAGAGGTTTTGAAGCACTGAACCTTTTTTTAGTTTTTCCAGGGATCCCTCCTTCTTTTTTGATTCCCTCCTCCTTTTTATCCTTATAGAAAGGAAGAAAATCCCTTTAAAGACAGGTTGTCCTGGGCTTAAAATAAGCCTTAAAGGCTGTCATCTCCACTTAGGGTTGTCTAGGCATGGGGATTCTTCTACTTTAAACTGCTGAACTTTAAAAATGCAGTGGATATCCTACTATACAGTAGGTTCCACTACTATTCTCATGTGCATTTTCAACTTTTTATCATCAAGCCCATGTTGTTACCTGATTTCCAGCTGTTAAAGGTGCTTAACATATCATCAATCCCACTTTTGGTCAATTAACCTCATTAGTTTAATTAATATTTTAGTACCTTACTGTCAGTCCACTTGCCTTTAAGCAATTCAGAACCTTTAAAACCCCATAATACCCTTGAAACTCCTGTGATTTATTGTATTACCCTTAAGCTTAGAGGTTTGAGGTTATAGTCTATATAAACTTACACTAAACACTAATTTCAGGTTGAACTTATCAGATTACTACAGCCATATCCAATTCTCAATTTAGGTTCAAACACATCATAACACAGAAGGGGTGTTAATCAAATGGCATGAGTTGGTCATATTGGGAACCAATCCTGACTAACTCAAAACCAAACTTGATCAACAAAGAGTTGATGATGCAAACTAAGGAATGAGGAAGTATCAATTAGGTCTTAGCACAGACAAGAGAAACTTGCAAGTAGTTACACTGACATGAGCAAACTCATGCTTCTCTCGTTTTTCAGATGATTTTAGTTAACGACATTTATATAATCGACTATACGAGCTATAATAGATAGCAAACAATCAATAAACAAGCTAGACAAACTAGGTTACCATGAGGCTTCAGTGACTTTAGACATAACAGGGAAACTATATGAACTAACTATTCGACGACTCTGAACAGGTTAAACACATAACTCACAACAGGTACAATTAACAAACAAACAGAAGGATCAAATAAAAAGGTCTTATGAAGACAAGCAGAATTAATTAAAAAAAATCATATAATCTAAACTAAACACGTAAAGAGATACAAACAGAATCACTAACAGAACATAACGAAAGGAAAAATTACCTTGGAAGCTTAAGAACGAAGAAGACCCGGACTCGAACTGGACTTGACTTCTTTGAGGTCGAACGGACTTCAATCGAAATGTTCTCAACTGAGAACAACTCGATTGAGGTCTATTAGACCCCAACTCCTCTTTTAATTGGACAAACCCCCAAGATCTTGAGTTCTAGGGTTCATACAGGCTGATTTGGGACTCGGGGTTTTCTGATTAGATTCGGACCAAACCAAGCTTGGTTTGGTCACGAGGGGAAGTCAGGGGAGTAACTGGTGTGGATTTGGGGTGGTTTGGCATAGGTTGAGGTTTAGCTCGAATCTTCAAATAAAGATTCGAGACGATGGGGGGAGGTTTGAGACCAACGGTTTGCAGATCCGTGTTCAGGGGGTCGAGGTGCACTAGGGGTGTTAATCTGAGGGTCACCGGCGTTGTTGCCGCCGGGTTTACGGTAAGGGGAAAGGGGGGCGGCGCTAGGGTTCTAAGGGGTTTGAATTCGGTGAGGGAGACGAAGAGAGGAGGGGGTCTGGCTTAGGGCGCGGGGTGAAGGGGGGCAGGCTTATATACGGGGTGAGTGGTTTGATCTGGGCCATTGGATCATCGATGATCAACGGCCTTGATCTTTCCACTTAAAAGGGACGGCGTCGTTTTGGTCTCTGTGGGGATTGGGTCGAGGATGGTGCTGGGTCGGGTTGGCTGAGATGGGTTGGGGTTTGTGATCTTTGCCGTTGATCATTCTGAGATCAACGGCCCAGATCAAGCATAATCAAGACGACGTCGTTCGGACGTCCCTGAGGCCAACTGATTTGGACCGGGCAACACAAATGCTTTGGGCCCAATTTTGGGTCCAATTTGAAATGGCCCAAACCCAATTTTATCCAATTCAACTTATTTCTTTTCCTTACCTACAAAAATCCGAATTTACAAAATTCTAAAAATATTATAAGAAATATAAAAAAATTAAAATTATATCACAAGACACCGATTGATTTTTAGTAATAATTAACACACAATATAAGATATTAATTAAACAAAAATCAACCTTTAAATGATAAAACGAAAAAAAAATTAAGAAGACAAATATTTTTGTGATTTTTTATTCATTCAAAAACTAAATATGACTTTAATTAATTCCTAATAGTAGCACAAGATCCCAGCTTTATGCGCGACATATATTTTGTATTTTCAATTGATAAAACTAAACAATCACAGATAAAAACTACAAAAATGCCAAGCAAATTCACAAAAATTTGTACAACAAAACCATTTGTTTTATTTTTAGATTTTCTTTTGGAGTAATTGTTGCGTAGACAAAAATCACGTGCTCACATTATTTCTTAAGACAAATACATGATTGAGGAAAATACATTACCGAGCATCTTTCAAAAAGTATTTAAGAAAATGATATTAATTCTTGTTTATTCCATATATAGCACATTCTTTTACAATATTAGCACATGATAAAGATTATGTGCACATTTAATGAGTAACACAAATTATGGGATCAGTTTTATCTTTATTTATCTTTTTACACTCTCTCCTACTATTTTCTATTCTAAATTTTACTTGCTTGATTTAGCATTCAAATTCTCTCTCTTTTTTTCTATTCTAAATTTCTTTCCTTTAATTTAGCATTCAAATATTCAAAGAATATTTGTAGCACTTCGAATATTTATATGAGTAGTATAAATAAAATATGTCATATATATTGTTTATACATATATTATACCCCATATATATATACACACACTCTGTTATAATACCATGTATATACTTATTCCATGTGTATATTTAATTATCTACTATTATTCCATTAAAACACAATATATACATACAATGGCTGAAGGATTCACTGTATATTAATATATTAAAAATACCATTGTAATTTATAAACTATTTAATTCCATCATTATACTGCGTAAAAACTTATCTTGACATACAATTAAAAATAAAATTTTATGCCAATAGGATATAGGAGTATAATTTTATCATTTAATTCGATATTTGTTTGACAAAAACTTGTGCAATCGTATTAATCTGCAAAAAGTAAGATACATAAAAAATTCAAAAATAAATTTTCAGAGTCCATTAATCTCATATATGCACGTAGCAACAGAAAACACATTAATCTCTTCATTATTGTTTGGCGATAATTTAGGAAGTGTATTCACTTAAGGAGAATTGAAACGGCTTTGGAATATTTTAGGAATTGAATGCTTTTAGGAAGTGTATTCACTTAAGGAGAATTGAAACGGCTTTGGAATATTTTAGGAATTGAATGCTTTTGATTTTTTTTAAAACGTGATTCTAGGTTCATATTTATAGTTTGCTGCTAAGAATATAATTATTTAGCTGCCTGTTTTGTAAAATATCTAGTGCTGCTAGGTATCTGAAATTTTTTCTTAAATATTGTCTATTTAGCCCGTGGGTTCGACCGAACTCCTAGCTCCTATTCTCCATCCGCCCCTGATTATCGTATTAGATGAGGAGTATTATTTATAATTATGTTACTTATATTTTAAAAGACACACATAATATAAGCAAGATCTTGGCCTTTTTCTTCACAAAAAATGAGCTGAACAACGTCTGAAATTAGACGAAGGATCATTATTACTTTTGTAAAAATACATGAACAATACTGTTTAGTTATAGATGGAATAACCATTACCTAAGAAAACACTACTTAAGAATTATTTTTCTGATACTTACCTAAGTCTTCCAGTAAGACTATAAAGGGGTAAAATCCCAGTTTTTACAATTTACAATAAGCGGTTCAAATCATTTTATCAATATGAGTATCCGATATCGATAAAAGATTTATTTTGAAACCACCTCTACATTAACATAGTAGCAGAAAGAGTACCATGCTGCGTCTAGACTTTATTCAGTATCGGACCATCCATAGTAGTTACATTCATCTTTCTAAGTTATTCAGTAATTCCTTTTGGTGATCACCTTGTTCTCGGAACAACGAAAGTAGCATTTAAAGTTGAGCAGCAACATCCATTGCTTTAATTGTCTTGATCTAAAGGATGCCATCTCCCATCTGTCCAGCTGCATAAGACGCCTTACCACTCTTGGTAGTCTCTCAAATCTTGTAAATATCAGTTGTTGTTTATGCACGTGGCAGAGTGTAGCTATAGCTTGTTCGCGACCTTATTTGCTTCCCGATAGCAATGTTGGACTCTAAGCCAGAATGCAGATGAGTTGTTCCCGATAGGAGGTGCATGCCGCTCCTCCTACACATGAGCTGAGCCGCTTTGAGTTCGCCTCCTCTATGGACATACACTGCTGCAGCCCATATAACATTGCCTTACCTTCTGCCCAATTGCTTGTTCCAGGAGAAAGAAAGATTGAGAAGGCTAGGATAAGTTTGCCTATGTGATCTCTTATAATTCCACCTGCACCACAAACACCATCTTGGGGCAACTTCCATCGGAGTCGAACTTGTACCATTCCAGCGGTGACTTTTTCCATGTGACCAGTGTGATTGTTTTGTGTCTCATTGGTTGATCTATGATGAAATGTAACTGTTCGCATGCTGGTTGCAATCTCACTTTCCAAATTTGGCTCCTGTTATGTCTATTAGATTAAACACTGTCTGCATTTCTGACCTTGGTAGTGATGAGAAGAAATTATGCCTTAATACAACAGGTGTAGTGCTTACAGAATAAGACGCTACCTTACACTTGTGAAGCTCCACAGTCCTCTTTCGTCGATCAGTTACAAAATAAGGTGACAAATAGCCACGATCAAACTGCATATCTTCTACAACTTCTAGACTGGTTTCAGTATAGTTCCCTTATTCTCAATTGTGACAACACCTTTTCTCCCAACCTGCCTTAGAGATTTCGAGATCATGTTCCCGATGGCATAATCATTGCCAGCTCTAACAGCAGCAACATCTTCCAGCTCGTGATCCTCAACCTGCAAGGTTTAATGATTGTCAACAGACATGTTGAAGATAGTACAACCTCATGCATCTTAGATGAGAAAGCTGATTTTTACACATATTTCTTGCCCAAATAATTCTGTTTCTCTGCCTAAAGCAAAAATGCAGAGTAATTTTTCCTTCCTTATACCTCTCTAGACATCAACTTGAACAACATTTGCTCCCGTTGCAGTAACCTAGGGAAAGATAATGACTANATTTTCCTTCCTTATACCTCTCTAGGCATCAACTTGAACAACATTTGCTCCCGTGGCAGTAACTAGGGAAAGATAATGACTAAACACAATTATAACAGAAACAAGAAAGCCGTTTTTATCTAAAAAAAAAGAGATGTCTAGAGGTTATTCCACTCCCTTCAACCCTTGGCACCTTCAGCAGCCAGACCACGAGCAAGCACAATAGATGTTGTGCAACCATCACCAGCAAGATTATTAGTCTTGGCACCAGCTTCCCTAACTAATTTTACTCTTGACATTTTCCAAAGGATCGTCCAGATGGATCTGTACTGAAAACAATGGATATATTCAATGCATTATCTTAAGGTGGAAAAGTAAGAAGACGAAGCACCACCTACTCCATTGAATTTGAAAGTAGGTTGAATCCGAGAAGCTCAAAAACCTGATTTTATCTGACAGGCTAAATTTGATAGAAGACGTGCATGCAGCTCATTACTTTACTATAAGAAACACTTTTAGCTGTCTTTCATCAGCATTCAACTGCACCTATGTATGATTTCTACATGGATATACTTCATACAATTCATTTTCAACTTTTTGCTTATATAACTGGTTTATATCATAATCCAAGTCAGGCTTAGAGTGTGAATCGCATTAATGGAAAAATTTAAAATAACAAGGACGATTAACTAAGAGTTCCCTATTAAGTTCCAGAAATGACAAAAAAATGGAATTGCTGGAAAAAGCAGAACAAGTAGGAGGATGCAAGAAACGTCAATTGTAGGCCTCAGAAAGTGTCAAGAGAAGACTTTTTATACATGAAAACTCAAACAAACAACATAAGTAACTTCTACTATGCGGAATGAAGTGATCTTTTAAGGTGGCACGCTTCTATAATTCCATAGACCTGAAGACAAATTTAAACCCTGAAAATTGACAACTCTAATAATTCCTTTCTCTATCCTCAGAAGTCAAAAGCAACCAAATTGTCCAACAGGAAACAAGAAATTTACAACCATTAAACTACTTTGAGAAGGAATCACAATATGATTTACCAATTTAAGCAAGTATATATGAAAGAGGCACAAATAACAATATATGATTCTAGTTTCCTCTCCATTTTGAACCATACACAACATAAAAGCTCCTTTAATGGTGACACCTTAGACCTGTGACGGAGCCAGAAATACGTACAAGGAGATTGAAAATAAGAAAATGTCACTCCTAGGACTTGAACCTGCGATAGAAAAGAATTTTTGAACCCCCTTTACCACTACACTAGAATCTTCTATTATGTCAAAGGAATCCAACAGTTTGTACATAAAAAAATTGTTTTTACCCTATTTGCATAGTATAATATTCGGCAAAGGGGATTCAATTGAACCCCTTGCCGACACATGGCTCCGCCACTGCTTTAGACATCATTCTTCCAATTTACTTTAATTCTGTATATTGACACCATTGGAATAGCTTTTGATTTACATATTCCAAGTTACATGGAATTCCAACCAGTTTTTGTTAAGCACCAAATAATACCAGACATGTCTGCTCTGTGTACACATTACCCTACCAAATAGTACCAGAGGCCTACAAATTAAAATATTTAACAATGTTGTTAATGCTTGTAATGTGAAGGGGAGCCTTAGCGCAATGGTAGTTCGCCGTGTGACTAGGAGATCATGGGTTCAAGGCGCGAAAACAACTTATTTAAGAAATGCAAGATAAGGTTACATACATATGACCCAACGTGGTCTGGCGCTAGCCGCCCCCCTCCCCCCTAATAGTAGGAGCTAAGTGCACTCGACTGCCCATTTGTTAATGCTTGTGATGTACCTCTTTAAGAACAGTTTCACCATATTTATCTTGGGAGGACCATACTTATTTCCAAACACTACATTCCTTCCTTTTGGCAATGTCACTCCAACCAGCTCTGCCACCAAATCCATATCTGCCTGCACAAAATTTTCACCCAACTCAATCTTGAAAACCAAACTAAACATAACAAAAGCACAAAAAAAAACCATAATGACCAGAAGTTTCTTTGTGGTAGAACCATCATGGTTAAAGTACAATTCTTTAGCCATAGCTCTTGTGTTCAACAAAGAAACAGATACCCTTTCATCTGTGTACTGAACCAAATATTAATGTAATTGTGGGTAAATGATTCAAAGAACAACTCATTTTTTCTTTTTACTGAAGTTTCAATTATGCTACTAAAGGGTTACTGACTAGAGGGATAAGAAAAGAGATTAACTGAAAATATCTGTCATATAAAAATCTGTCCTTTTTGGTGCTATTTACCTTCAAAAGCTTCAAATTGAGAGCTGAAAATAAAATCTTGTGCCTGTGATATTGTGGCTCAAAATAAAGAATGTTAAAAGGCCCATTTTTGTTCATTCTACTTGCAGTGTTCTTTTAAGGTTTCATTTTATTTTACTTGGTGTTAAATTGTGTTTTTTATTTGATTTTCCTTTTTATGGTAAGCTGTATTAAAAAGCTAATACTGTTATTTGGACATTCCCTTGTTGGTTACTTTTATTTTTTTCTTTTCTTTAAAGAGGATTGCGCGCATGGATGGTCAATTTAAAAATAGTCTAAATATGGTGAAACCTTGGAACATAATAGAGCTAATTAGTTTGAGATTGAGACGTTGTTAATTGATTGATTGATGAATATCTATATATAAGTAACTGCAGAGCAGCGAAGTGCAAAATTTCTGATTGCTGGATTGACAGAATCACTCAGGACTTCAATGTCAGGTGCTACTACATTTTGTGTTTAAGCCACTTCAAAACGAGTTTGATTGTCTTTCTACTGTCTTAAATTGTATTTAGCTTCTTCTTAGAGTATATATCAGCATAATCTCAAGGGCTTTGCATTGATAAAGGAAGAAGGTATTTGGTAGGAATATGATACTATGATTAGTAGAAATGTTGAGCACAACAAAATGAGTTGTATATTACTACTACTACTATTTAGTAGGTAAAATATTTGCTACTATATTCATATCATGGCAGGCATAAACTTCATGAGACAAGGTCACAGACTCCAAATAGAAGAAATACTATGTTTACATTGGTTTGTCAAAGATAACCTGATGTGTCATTTTCTATATGATGTTATGATATTATATATACTGATAAACTTTTGCAGTTAGGGTGCAACAGAGAGTCTTGTATCTCTCACTGTACATTTACTGTCATTCTAATGGCATCTTGAACCTTAGTAAACATGAAGGCAATGTGTTGGAGGCACTTACTTTCAACTTGTAGTCTTTTTATATAGTTTCTCAATCTTTTTTTAATGATGGTGATGTCTAGGCCAGCTTGTGTGGCGCACCTTGACTAATTAACCTAATAGGCTAATTCCTCCTGCCATTTCAAGCTTAGCTTCTAAAAGTGCATTTTAATCTTGATCCATGTTGAATACCACCTTCAACACATATTGTTAGAACAAAGTAGCTAACCAATTACCTAATTCTAAACTATTTTAGTAGGAAGGGCGGACCAATTAATCTATTACCCCCATAAAATAGGTAAAGACCTAAGAATAACTTCAAAATTTGAAACATATCCCACGAATATTGAATACCATCAATTTATGCAAACCCACTCTTACTCAATTCTCATCAAGTAGAACACCGGAAAACAAGAAAATGTAAAAAGACAAATCTTTTTATAAAATTCATCATAATAAGAACAAATTACACCATCAACACAAACAATTCGCAAGAGAAAATGATCTCTTATGCGCACTTAAAATTTAAAGCAGAGAAAATGTCTCTACAAAGCTCTCCTGAATTATTAACATATATTCTATGTAAGTTTTTATTGATCCCATGTGAAAACGGTCGTTTAACTAAAATAACATTTGTAATGTACCACAAAATCAAATCTCTCAAGCTAAACCTCAAAAAAGAAAAAAAGAAAAAGGAATCTTGAAAAAACTCCAGAACAACACTTGGAAAATCAAAAAGCCAAAAAGAAAAGCAATGGAGATAGACAAAGCTAGGGGTAGCAAATGGGTGGGTTGGGCTGAATTTGGGCGGATCGAGATGGATTAGGTCAATAAATGGGTCATTGTCCAACCCATCCCAAAGTATACTTGGGCTAAGATGGGCTAAACAATGGGTCATAGCCCAACCGGCCCAACTTGACCCATGTTTTAGAACCATGCTTATTTTGCATAAGAAAACCTTTTACCTTAAAATGTATAAGTTGGAAAATATTCTGGGGGTGGGTGCGTGGTGCAAAAAAAAAAACAAAAAAAAAACAAAAAATTGAAAATAAAAAAAAAAAGTAAAAAAAAAATTGAGGGGGTTAGGGGATAGGTGGTGCNTTAGGGCAACTATGTAAATTTCTAGATAAGTTGGGTTGAGATCCCTTTGTTTTGGGTGAGTTTCATGGGTTGTACTTGGGCTGCTTAATGAGTCAGGATGAGCTATAAAAAATAGGGAGAATGACACAGCTGTAAGCACGTGATTTTTGCCCTATGAAAGAATTACTCCCAAAAAATTCAAAATAAAACAATTTTCCTTTGTGTGCAATTTTTGTTATTTTTGTGGTATTTTTGTATAATTATTTGTATTTTTATCTGTGCATGTTTATTTGTTTTAATTAATAAAAATATAAAATATGTCACATTTTCATTTAGTATTTAATTAAGTTTGTTTTACAAAAATGAAAATCACAAAAAATAGGAATCTTTTGCATTGTTAGCATTTAATGTCAAATTATGCAATTTTGTTTTAATTGGTGTTTAATTGTGTATGATAATTGTTGTTAGGAGTTTAATTAGTATTTTTGGAGTTAATTTAGTTTGTAACTCAATTTAGAATTTTAGTTTTATCAAAGAAAAAAAAAATATAATAAGAAGAACAAACTCGGATTGGGCCAATTTTCGGAATTAAAAATAGGCCCAAAACACTTCTACCCAACCCAAAACAATACCAGGCCCACACCCATGACCCATACCCTACTTGGTCCACAACCCAAATGCCCAAACCCTACACTTATGCATCAGCCGTATCATTTGGTTCAAGAAGCTTCACATTCTTCTTCTTCTTCTTCAAGAAGAAGAAACCCTAGAAAGAAAAAAAAAAACCAAATCTTCTCCAGCCGTCATCCTCGTCTTCAAGTCGCCAAACGAAGGGAATAAGCATTTCTTTGTTTCATCCACATGATACACAGCTCGACTCCCTCCCATAAAACATTAAAATCACATTTTCCGGCAACTGGTCCGAAATTGCCGATCCTTTTTGCTCATAAATTTAGAGCATCTGCAATGTCATATTTCCAGTTCTTACATCCTGTCGACTCATATAGGAGTCCCTTTATTCTTGGCCTTCTTTCCCATGTATAATCCATCCATATGAAACTTATGACTTGCATCCAAATACACTTCTATGTTTTTCCCCTAAAACCCTTTTTTCAACTTTACAAAGCAAATGCTGTTACATGCTATAACAATCCAAAGTTGCTGATCTACAAACAAGATATACCAGTCTTACCTGTTCCAAAGCCAGGGAGCAAGAATCCCTTCACTATAGAGCCATGAACAAGAAAAAAGTACAGGATTTCTTCATATATCAAGTAATAGACCCTGCAATTGACCATTCCACGTCAAAGCAAGGAAAAAAGAAAATCAAGACAAATTGAAATGCCTTGTTGTCATACCGTGTTCAGCAAATGGATGAAAGAAAGCAGCCTCGTGCATCCTTTCCATGGGTACTACCATTGACTCTTCATAAAATTTAGAGAATGAACCAGGATTCTGTAGCTAGTCCTGAATATTAAGAAGAGAACACTTTCTTTTACCTTACTGATAGAAAGAGATAAGCTTGTTTACAAAGTGAATAAATACGAATCAAGGAAGCAGAAAACAAATCCAATTTATTTGAAGAGAAAATAAAATAGAATTGGGGGAGGGAGAAGTTAGACATATCTATAACAGCATAGGTGTCCAACAAATCATTACCCTCTAGATAGGAAAAAAATTAAAAGTTAAGATAATAACGATAAAAGCATGCTTCTCTTCCAAGCCAAATGATAATACTTGACAAATTGCTATTGCAATATCTCTGTATTCTCCATTTTAGTGGAGGAATGGAAGCAAAATTCCAAAAGTACTTTAAGTTTCTCTTTTCTCCAACTTAACAAACAATAACTTAGAAGCTTTGTCACAATGAATCCAATACTTCAAGAACTCTAATGCTTAAGTTTTCTTTAGAATTCTATAAGATTGAATGGTGAAACTCCCATGACATATGAGATGCAATCCTTACACCGTGAAGACAGCGAAATTTAACGAGTTCGATTCTATGAGTCCGCTGTGATTATGACACAGCAACCAGTCCGAGTAGGTATAAGACAATAAATTTTTGAAGCAAAGCAATTTGCATAAAAGGAAACCATTATTGCCGAGATTAAAAATCAAATAAATAATTTTGAATCTAACACGCTCAAAAGATAATACAATTTTCAGTTAGAACCCAAAATCATAAGGATTTTCATAGCTGAGCCTCGCCTTCAGTAAGGCCTCATATGCAGAATGAGTTTTAATAGTTTTAACTCATTAATAGGATTTGTTATGCTTTGATTGAACTTTGCTTTTAAAGCATCATTTCACCAGGCAAATAACGCTCAACAATGATATAATTATGTAAACGAAATGAATGATTATGCAATAACTATAAGACAAAGTGGGTAGGTAACTCAAAGGACACTTGAGAAATATGGTAAGAAATTTCAGGCAAATAAAAATAGAAAAATAAACAGGAAATCTTGACTAAGGAGCACAAATGTACTGGCAAATGGAACGATTACTGTCAAAGGAAGAAAAATGCATTTAGGGTGAGTTAAAGAAAATGGAAAGCACTTAAAAACTTGAAAAGGGACGTTAAACAAAGACAAGCAGTAATAGTAAGTCAGCCCTAGAATTAAGCTAAGAATTCATTATACTGTAAGGTTAAAGGTAACAGAACAAGATAGATTTAGATTTCAATAAACAGGGAACACGATCTTTTCGACAAGTCCACTAAAAAGGAATTCAATACCAGAACCAAAAAAGGATAGAAGAAGAGAAACAGAGAAGAAACTTTACCTGTTTTAACTTTTCTTACAGATGCCTAAATCTGTCTTTTCTCCATACAAAGATGATGCTGACCAGAGGATATAATCACTCTACCACATCTGCAGATATACAAGTTAAGGAGTGACAATTTCCCCAAAGGTCGCGCACAAAAAGCCTTATAAGCACCTTAGTTTGCGAGTTAATTAGAACTTACAAACCAGCTTTCTGTTTTGTAAGTGATGCTACATGCATAAACATGACTCGACCCCTTTGTCTAGCAAAAATCTTCACTTCCTAACACGAAATCAGCAGTAAATAAAGAATCAGTACTGTTCTCAGGTGCATTACTAGTCATTAACTTCTCATATGACCTGATCTATAAGTTCACATAACTGCATAGTTACTGCAACTTACAAACCTTTTCTACCAAAATTTCTCTTTAAACCAGGTATGGGATTGAATATTTGAATAAGTTAACATTCCTTATAAAATCAAGGAATAGCTTGTTGAACTTTTCTGGTAACACCTCATGAAACAAGAAGCTCATATGTTGCAGCAGAGCATAGTAATCATCCTGAATTGGTGTCGTGTACACTTAACCACAATTACAACCAGTATCTAACCCACACTTAATTTTCAAAGAGAACAGCTGGAACACAGAATTGTGATCACCAATACGACGAAAACTGTTAAGCATAACAGAATACATTTGTAAATCAACAGATATGCCATGCGACAACATCATATGCAGAAAATCCTTCACATCATCCATTAAGTTTCTCTTTTTATAAGGACCGTATAGTAAGTTTCTTTTGCACAACCTATTAATTACAGCACTATAATCTCTAATAGAGATTTCAAAGCCCTTCTCGATCATCTTTTTGAACAGACCCACCGCCTTATTCACATCACCTTTTGCACAATGTGCTTTTATAAGAATGGTGTAATCACATTTCATCAGGCCAACATCACGATCTTCGAGAGAAGAAAATAGTTTCTCAGCATACTTTAGGTCTCCTTGTACACATAAACCATTAAGGAGAATGTTGTATGTGACACGACTTGGCAGAAGATTGTTGTCTATCATCTCATCATGTAATCGGATAGCACCTTTCATATCTCGAGCTTTGCAGAAACTTTGGATAATGGTGTTGTACGAAACTTCATCAGGCCAAGGACCTGCCGTTAACATATTCTTTAGTATCCGAACCGACTCATGCATCTGACTTGTTTTGCCGTGGCATTTCATTATCACTGTACGAGTAACATGAGTTGGTTCCATGCCCCTTGCTTTCATTTCCGCTTGCAACTCTAAGATGGTTTGAATATTTCCTTCCTCACTATACGCATCCATAAGAGTTGTGTACGTGACCTCTGTTGGTATCAACCCATGTACAACAATAGTGTCAAACAACTTTCTTGCATCATCTAGCTTTCTGGCTTTGCAGAACCCATATAATAAGGAGTTGAATGTGACTATGCTTGGCATTATTCCTTTCTCTTTTATTAGTTCGTATACCTGAAGAGCTTCACCAATGTCACCACGTTTTGCATATCCGTCAATCATAATATTACCCAAAAGAACATCATCCATTAAGTCACAGTTCATTAAAGCATCAAAAAAAGCTCTAGCCTCACACATGTACCCTTTCTCACAGAAGCTTTTGAGAATAGATCTATGAGCAACAATATTTGGAAGAATTCTCTTATAACACATATCTCTGTACAGTTGAAAAGCCAACTCGACCAATCCTTTCTTACAAAGGCCTTGTATGAGAATCGAGTACATGACAGTATCTGGTTTATGACCGCTGTTCTCCTCTCCCAACTTAATACCCTCATCAACATTAACTGCCTTGCAATATCCACATATCAACATTTTAAAAGTGACAATATCAGGATTTAAGCCTTTATGAAGCATTTCATTAATTAATGTCCAGACACCACTTGTCATACCAAGCAAACAAAATCCTTTGGTAAGGACGTTATAAGTCACCACATTAGGCTGTAAACCGTGTTTCTCCATATCACCTTTGAACTCCAAGGCTTCTTCCATTGCACCCGCCATGCTTAACCCATGAATGAGAATATTGTAACTGTATACATTGAGATGTAATCCATACTTAAACATCATACAAAAGAATGACTTTGCAACATCCATGTAACCCATTTTACAGGAACTTGACATAAGAGTATTGAAAGACACAACACAAGGCCCAAACTCTCTACATTCAGTCCCTCGAAGAAACTCAACAGCTTCTTGCATCGAGAACTGTTTGCATAGGCCATCTATAAGAATGGAATTAGTATACTCACTCGGGTTTATCCCACTGGCTTTGATGTCATCATAGACATCCCGGATGATATCAGTGTCCCTCAGCTTATACAACAAATTATTATATAAAATTATCGAAGCCCGGATATTGAAATTTTTCATCTTTGCAAAAACAAAGAGAGCATCGAGAACCATCTGACATTGGGAATAAGCAGAAGCCAGCATATCCCAGACAACATGATTAGAATCCCATTTCTGAAAGCGACTCGAAAGCAGCTCACTTAGCAAAGAAGCTGAACCCGAGCCTGATGGAAATCAAAACAAATCTATATAAACAGCAAAAATGAGCAAAGTAAGAAGTATTCCCTCTATCCCAATTTATGTGGCACACTTTCCATTTTAGTATGTCCAAAAAGGACCAACACTTTTCTATATTTAGAAATAATTTAACTTTAAGAACTCACATATCCAGAGGATGAAGGTGGCAAAGATGAGGATGCTGAGGTGGATGTGCGGGCACACGAGGAAAGACAAGATTATGAATGAAGATATTAGGAAGAAGGTGGGTGTGGCTCCTGTGGATGACAAGATGCGGGAAGCAAGGCTCAGATGGTTTGGACACGTGCAAAGGAGAAGCCTTGATGCGCCGGTAAGGAGGTGTGAGCGGTTGGCCGTGGTGGATACGAGAAGAGGTAGAGGGAGGCCTAAGAAGTATTGGAGAGAGGTGATCAGGAAAGACATGGTACGAACGCGGATTTCCGAGGACATGGCCCTTGATAGTAAGGTCTGGAGATCTAGCATTAGGATTGTAGGCTAGGGGGTAGTAGAACCTTCCTTAATTCTTTCCGAGGGTGAGGCGGGGTTGGACTAGGGTTGACCTTGGATAGCTTGTAGTTTATGCTGAATACACACTTTACTTGCTGTTTATTTTAGCTCGAGCCTTAGATACTAGTTATTGTTATTGCATGTCTTTCATCTTTTGGTTGTTATGCTTCTGTTACTATTACTATTACGATTTCTACTGGAGCTACTAATGAATTGTCTTTTCTTGTTTTTCTTATTTCCATCTTTCTGAGCCGAGGGTCTATCGGAAACAGCCTCTCTACCCTATCGGGGTAGGGGTAAGGTCTGCGTACACATCTTGTTTTTCTTATTTCCATCTTTCTGAGCCGAGGGTCTATCGGAAACAGCCTCTCTACCCTATCGGGGTAGGGGTAAGGTCTGCGTACACATTACCCTCCCCAGACCCCACTTGGTGGGATTTTACTGGGTAGTTGTTGTTGTTGTTGTTGTAATTTAACTTTAAAATTCTCATTTTACATTTGCCACACAGATATCTATGCTTGTTTCTAAACCACAAATTTCAAAAGTCTTTCTTTTATTCTTAAATTTTGTACTCAGTCAACCAAAATCGCACAAAATTGGAAGGAGGGATTAACTACTTACAAAGGCTGACACGTTGCTATGCTTAATTTTTTTTTTTTTTTTTTTTT